TGCCAGCTATCTGAAATGAACATTAGGGTTCCCAATTTATTCCTGGGCTTTGACTGTAAACATGTTACAGCTTAACACCCATTCCCATTCTGCTGCCATCCACTCCTTTTGTCAGCTGCAGCAAAGAGACAGTGAAATAATTGAGACGTGCCAGCTGTCCCTTCTCCTTAGCTTTCTGAGCTTATTCCTCGTCCACCAGCCCATTAACATTTCCGAGTGATTTGCAAAAAAAACGTCGCCTTGGCTCTCCTCGTTACCAGCTTGGAGATGCTTGAGGCAGATTAAACAGTGTGAGGGAAAGCAAGCCATTTCAAATTTCTCCTATGATTTTATTATTAGCACAATGATTCGACACTGCGCAGCCCCTTCTGTTCCTCTCGTACGAAATCATTTTTGTTGAAATCACCCCACCTTTTTTTCTTTTTACGACAGAATACCTCACAGCAATGAAGTGTTGATTGGCAAGACTGCGGTTTCCTGCCTTCTGCCAGTATCTGTTAAAGCCATCTTCCACAGTCACTCACTCGTGAGCTGAGCCCGGCTCTGTGCAGATTGCTTGTCTAGAGAGGTACAAAAAAAAAAAATCATTGTGAGCTCAACCGTCTACAGCCGCAGAATATTCTGTCAACCACAGCCAGCGGGAGACGGATCAAAGCGGCGTTCATTCTACCTTCTGCATCCTCCAACGTCTCTCAACAGATACGCCGCTCTATTTACATATCTGTCTGTTCATGTCCTTATTTTATCAGGGCCCTGACTGTTTATGCTTTGGCAGAGCTATGAAGGGAGTGAACCGCAGTGTTTGCCTAGTAAATGAGAACACCCAGTGGCTTTAAGCTTCTCTTAGCACCAACCCCCCCCTCGTCACAGGGAGAATTTGCATACCCTCGTATCTAATCTGAAAAGGGCTTTTTGCATACAGGTTCTATTTCCCTAGCTGTTGTATATACTGGCATCAGGGCAGCAGCCAGCAGGTCATTTGTGTGACACACTTATTTGCATTCATGGCATTAGTTTGCTAGGGTTTTAGTTAGAATGAGAAAATAAATTGTAAGACAAGGTGAAAAATATAACGATTATGAAACGAAGATATTTGCAGTAATATGCTGTAAACTCTTGTATTTATTATTATTTTTGTAGTGTATTATATTTTAACGCTTCATAGGGAAAACATTTGAAAGGCTGCAGTTTTGTCACACAAAGCATTTTAGGGTCTCCTTCAGGGCTTCTGCATTGTCTTCCTGACATGACACGTGTCAACAGACCATGCCTCAGACGGATGTCACAGCATGGAGCCATGTTGTCCTTCATTCAAGTCTATTGGACGATGACACCCAGCCAGGACTACTACAAGCAGCTCAAGGCCAAAGCAATTGAAGACCGTTCCATCTGGCTGCTGGAGGCCAGACTGGTGCCATCTCTCCAGATGTTCCATAGGGACAAACAGGGTCACAAGTGAAGGATATTGAAACAGCTGTATAGCGACACCTTTTTTCACCCCCCAGATTCCCTGCCGTACACATCAGTCATCGCCAGGGAGTCCGTCTGCTACCCAAGTCCCTGTGTCCCTCATCACCCCCCCCCCCCCCCCCAACCCTGTATCACTGCAAACCCAGGCATGTGTGCACGGGGTAAAACCCAATTCCCCTGAGTAAGCATGGCCACAGGAACAGCTATAAAAAGATCAATACTGGGATGAGATGTCATCTGGTGAGCAGACCTGCCAACACCCCCGAGGGGACGTCCCTGTCCCCCCGGTGCACTAACCCAGCTAACAGGAGGTGTGTGTGTGTGTGTGTGTGTGTGTGTGTGTGTGTGTGTGTGTGTGTGTGTGTGTGTGTTGTGTGTGTGTGTGTGTGTGTGTGTGTGTGTGTGTGTGTGTGTGGTGTGTGTGTGTGTGTGTGTGTGTGTGTGTGTGTGTGTGTGTGTGTGTGTGTGTGTGTGTGTGTGTGTGTGTGTGTGTGTGTGTGTGTGTGTGTGTGTGTGTGTGTGTGTGTGTGTGTGTGTGTGTGTGTGTGTGTCTGACTGACTGACTCCCTCACACCATCTGCTCAGGTTTTTGCGGGGCTTCAGGACAACACGTTTTTTTGGTTCAGACACTCGTACAGCGTTTGTTTCACTCGACTGCCTGTGGCTCGCCCCCCTGTTTTTTCCTCAATTTGTGAGGGAAGTGTGTTCTATATCCCGAGGAAAACTAAAGCTGGGTTTGGCAGTTTGTTGAAACGCTTCTGAATCCGGTTGACAGTTTTTTGCGGCGAGGGGACAGTGTTTGTTGATGAAATAGAGATTGTGCCTCCAGGTGACATGTGTCAGAGAGGAATTCCTGTCATCTTTTTAACACTGCATGCAGGTTTGCATTCAAAATGGCTGCCGCTGAAAGAAAATAGGCAAAAAGCAGGCTATTAGGAAAGATGAACAGTGTTTTCTACCACCAAGTGTGGACAGTTTGCTGCCTTAAGAAGCTCACGCTGCTATCATACCATAACTCTGCATTATAACTGAAATACATCCTAGGAGATTGCCATCAGTTCAGATCAAATAAAGTATTAAAATGACATGCTTTCTCCTAAACATTTAGACAGATTGTCGTGGCTTTGTGCTGCCGTTCTCTACAAATATGACGTGGAAGCTATTATGTTTAACTTTCTCTTTGTGTCCATCCTGTGTGTGTGTGTGTGTGTGTGTGTGGCTTGCAGAATGATTTTAATGAGGGATGTGTTGGTCTGCGCTGATATCTCCCTGCCTCCATTAGAGCCCATTAGAATCATCATTAAGATAACCCGGCGCTCACTGTGGCCCCGGCTTTCTCCTGCATTAGTATTAGAATCCTCTCTCTCTCTCTCTCTCCCTCTCCTAGTGGTCGTTGAGAGACTTCCCCTTTCTGTATCACTCGCCTCACATTGTGTCTGAGAAAAGAACAGGTTGCCACGGCAACATCACCCAACGGCGACATTTCGACTGTGGATATTTGCTTCATCGCCTGTTTGTCTGCCCGTGCCTTCAAGTCTTCCAGTCTTCCTCTCTCTCTCTCTCTCTCTCTCTCTCTCTCTCTCTCTCTCTCTCTCTCTCTCTCTCTTTCTCTCTCTCTCTCTCGCTCTCTCTCTCTCTCTCTCTCTGACAGTTTAATCCAAATCCCAGACCCCTATAAATCTGGAGGTCTATATATATATATATATATATATATACGCCCGGACCCCAGGAATTCATTTGAAAATCGTGACACCTTAGCCAGCCCCGGTTCTCCCATAAAACGCAAGGAGTAAAGGGAGTAAGGGGGGGTTTGCTCAACAAATAAAAATAAAAAAAAGCTCTGCCCTGCCTTTTTATTGGTCTTTTTATGGGTGTTAGGATCCTTGAAAGATTAAGCAGGCCGTTAATAAGGACTGGATATTCCATTAGCGGGCTGCATGTCGACTTCTCACTGGCTTGACAGCGGCTCCCGGCTCTTCTGGTTTTGTGTTGCCGTGGAGAGGGCCCGTGGAGATGTTTTAATTGAGGCACTAGTAAGCCTTGTGACTGAAGTACTGCTGCATCTTAGCTGTATATTAGCGCGGCTTAGAGAGCCTCATCTAACACCACTACGTCTCCATCGTTCTCTGATTTTCTGCTTGAATCAAACTCCATTCCGCTTTGATGAACTCAGAAGCTCTAGTAGTGTCTTAGCCGTCAATATCTTTGTGGACTAGTTTGCCTTTGTTTTAACTCTAGGAGAAGTAGATGTTCTTTCCTTTTCATTAAGATTCATAAGGGCTTTGAGATCCTTTGTGTGTGAAAGGTGTCGAGATGCTGCATTTTCTGCCACTTTCGGTTTACCCGCTACAATGGCATATAATTACAGTCATTAAATCGCAACAGCCTAAGTATGAAAAGTCGTTGTTCGCTGGAATGCTGATTATAAAAGCTTCTTGTCTTTCTGAAAGGGCCCCTGATGAATGCTGAAGACAAAGTGGTGGGGTTCAGAGTGCTTTGCTGTGGTTTCCCAAATCCCCTGAAAGATCATGGAGGGAGGGGTAGAGAGGCCAAGATAACGGGCCACGATCTCTCCTCACAGCACAATTGAAACATAATTATTTCATGCCAGATTGTGTGCTCAGCAAAGCCCTGAATAGGGGCCGACATTTAACTTTAATTAGCTGTGATTTATTCATACTGACTGGATCGCGGGAAGAAATTGGATCATCTGATTATAGTCAAGCATGAAAATGACCTGATTAAACACTTAATGGAACCTAGGGAGAAGGAAACAAGAGGAACCTTGGGTAGAAGTCGTTGGGACGCTGTTATATTTGAGAGCCATGATGCTCCTGTCATGTGTATCAATACTGAAATACTTCATGGTACAAGTCTTTGTCAACCGCTTCAAAGTGAAAACTGCGCCGCAAAATAAAAGATTGAACTTTTGAGAAATTCTTTAAAAACAACATTGTCTATAAACGCAAACAAACTGAACATTTAATCATTTTTACCGTCAAATCAGAGATACAGGGTCATACAATTTAGTAGACTGACTCGCTCTTTTCTGCACCGGTCAATCCTAGAATTACATTTGGGTAAAAGGCTCTGAACACATTGTTCTCAGTGATTTTGTTGTTATTTTAAAAGTCTGTTTCATTGTGTCTTGCCTTAAATACTAAGTTGCAAATAGAGCTGCTGTGATGCAAGAACATTTCAGAATTTATCTGATAATAAAGTATCATATCGTATCGTATTGTATCGTGGATAATCGTATAGAATCAAAACATATCGTATTGTATCGTTGTTTGGGAACCAAGATAAGTTAAGATGGAATAAGCTTTTAGCTGATGTGCATAATTATCTATATAGAGGTATCACTATTATCAAATGACGTCATTTTTACACACAAGCAAAGCTATGCTATGCTTTTGAATCAAAACAGGAAATGGTTCAGCATCTAAGATGGCCGATCTATAATGTACCCCATCAGATGAACACAGGTTTGTAAATATTCTTCTCACACGTTGCTCTTCTTCTCTCCTCAGGTGTGCCGACGAATGAGTGTCCGGAGTCGAAGCCTTGCAGCGCAGCCAAAGTCTCGGGGCTCCAGCGCAGCCAGGAGCAGAGCATCAGAGCGGGTCCCTTCACCCCCCCGGTGCCCAGTCCCACCCCCGCCTCGGCGCCCACGGGCTCCCCGGCCGCGGCCGCCCCAGAGCCCCCTAGGTACAGGTGGGGTCCAAAACTAGCAAGCTACATGAATGTCTGGGAGCAAATTAATTGTATATGCTACACAAATATGGCCAGGATCCGTTGAATTTTCTGAATATTGGGTTGCAGATTAAAATGTTCAAAAGGGGGGTTTGTTTAGCATGAAACACTTGAACCTTGTTATTCATGTTTTATTGTCTTTGCTTTTAAATGAGTGTTTTTACATGCCATTTTATAATGTTTCTTAATGCTCTTAATGTCTTTCATTTTTGTAATGCACCTTGAATTGCCTTGTCTTCAAATTAGGTCGTTCCTGCCCAGCCCGCCTCCTCTCAGCGCCAAGAGGGAGCTCCAAGCTCCGCCCCCTCTCCCCACCCCCCCCCTGCTGAGGGCACCACCCCACCCTCAGCTCCACCCTCAGTCTCACCCACACTTTCACCAGGACCCCCGGGTTCTGCCGCCCCCGCAGCACCATGCACGGCCGATAATCAGCCAGGTGCACCACCCGCTGCAGTACAGCAGCCTGCACGACCTCAGGTACGCTCTCACATTTCATTTAAAGGGCACCTATTATGCAAAATCCACTTCTTCATGTCTTTTCTACATCAACATGTGTCCCCTCTTCTTCATGTCTCTTCTACATCAACATGTGTCCCCTCTTCTTCATGTCTCTTCTACATCAACATGTGTCCCCTCTTCTTCATGTCTCTTCTACATCAACATGTGTCCCCTCTTCTTTCATGTCTCTTCTACATCAACATGTGTCCCCTCTTCTTCATGTCTCTTCTACATCAACATGTGTCCCCTCTTCTTCATGTCTCTTCTACATCAAACATGTGTCCCCTCTTCTTATGTCTCTTCTACATCAACATGTGTCCCCTCTCTCATGTCTTCTTCATGTCTCTTCCGATCTCTTCTACATCAACATGTGTCCCCTCTTCTTCATGTCTCTTCTACATCAACATGTGTCCCCTCTTCTTCATGTCTCTTCTACATCAACATGTGTCCCCTCTTCTTCATGTCTCTTCTACATCAACATGTGTCCCCTCTTCTTCATGTCTCTTCTACATCAACATGTGTCCCCTCTTCTTCATGTCTCTTCTACATCAACATGTGTCCCCTCTTCTTCATGTCTCTTCTACATCAACATGTGTCCCAAATCCCCTCTTCTTCATGTCTCTTCTACATCAACATGTGTCCCCTCTTCTTCATGTCTCTTCTACATCAACATGTGTCCCCTCTTCTTCATGTCTCTTCTACATCAACATGTGTCCCCTCTTCTTCATGTCTCTTCTACATCAACATGTGTCCCCTCTGTGTAAAGAGACTCTGAAAGTTTCAGGAACAAAGATTCTCTCTCTTTTTTGTCCTGATCCATTTATATACAAACCTGTCTGAAAATGAGCTGATCAGATTTTGGCCACTTTATGATGTCATGTTTTTTTGTCTTGTGTAACCATTAGCCAATCACCAACCAAGGTAACCCCCCCCCCCCCACCTTATCACCTGAATCTCCTCCTAGAGCACCATTGAGTTCTTTTTAACCAAATATCTCTCAGAGGGGCGTGGGGAGGGGCTCCTTATTTTCATCTAAAGTAACAGACAGAGATACAGCACTTTGGAAACAGGGCTAACTAATTCTGTATTTATATATAATGTATTCTAAAGATACTCTAGATATTTAGATTTCTATTGATGTATATGGTTACTAAATATTGTATTTCTTTTGTATTTATTATAATTTGTACTCGTGCAATGCTTTGTAAACATGGTGCTGCAACTACATTTCCCAATGTAGGATGAATAAAGTCGATCTAATCCAATCACTAGTAACTCAGTAAGGGAGCAGATATTCGGTATCAAGCGACATGTGTTCACTTTTACTTCTGTACCTCATCACAGTGTTACATCACCACTCTCCTATTATTTTCTTCCTGCCAGTCTAGTGGATAAAATGAACTGCAGCAATTTCCAAATGACTATAATTTAGTCTGTTGCGACAAGATACTGTACGATCCTACACAATATCGACTGCTGTTTTCATGCGGATATTGATTTTCCTGACACTTGTAAACTCGTAATAACCAGCCGTCAGATTTACTGTTTTTCATTGAGCAACGCTCCTGAACACACGGCACAGTCACACTCCCCTGCTTTTATTTCAGTGTCAGGAGGTTTATTGGAAAATAATTCTTATGATGTCAGAGCAGAGAGTCAGACGGATTCTCAGCTGAAGTGAACGATATTTCCAACAAATGTACAAAAACATATTGCAAATAAACACGCTGCACAAGTTCTGTACTTCTGTGTGAATAAAACAAAAACAATATCTTCATTATGTTAACTGAGAAATGTATTTTCCCCCTTGTATTTTATCTGTTTTATTGTGTTGCGCTGTTGGAAGAGCCTGTGACCTAAGATTTTCATCGACACATCTAAACTTTAGTCAAAGTCAACTTTATTGTCAATATTTCAGTTTGTGTGTACAGACAGAGAGATCAAAATACCGTTTCCCACAATCCCGAATACACAAAAATACAAATACATATAAAAATATGTATATCCTATATATACACAATCAACAGACACATTTATACATATGCACACATTAAGACATGAATAAAAGCACAACAATCAGTATATACAAAATAACAGTCACTTCAATATCTCTGGGAATATCTTGTGTACAAATGACGATAAAAGCCTTGAATCTCTGCAGCCATAGCAACAACGGAAAAAAGCACCCTAAAACCAAAACAATATGTTCATTATTTTAACAGAGAAATGTATCCTTCCCCCTTGTGTCTCTGCAGCCACAGCAGCAGTCCGTTGGGTCTCCCCCAGCAGCACCTGCCCCCCCAACCTCACCACCACGTCAGCGGGCTCCCCTCCTCCGCCTCCGCCCTGCCTCTTTCTATAGCGAACCTCTCTACCTCGCACTATTCCTCCCTACGGAGCCCAGCCCATCGCCATCCGGCCATGTTTGCAACCCCAGCCTCACTTCCGCCACCAACCCTACCGACCAACAGCTTAGTGCCCGGCCACCCCGCCGGCACCCCCTACCCAGGTAAAGCCCCGCATCTCACAGGGTATACAGTAGCTCCAGTTCAGACACAAACTCATAGTCGAACACAAATTAAACAAATCCCACCGCTTTGATGAACTCAGGAGCTATAGTAGTGTTTTAGCTGGTCAATATCTTGTTGACTATTTTGCCTTTCTTTGAACTCTGGGAGAAGTAGTTTCTTTTTCATTAAGATTCATAAGCACAACTCGTAGGATATATAGCAGCTTGATAACCAACATTGGCTTTTTTTTGCCAGCAGTAGTATTGTATTATTTTAAGTGTTATCATAACACATTTAGCTGCATCTTCAAAATGCTGATGTAAAATAGGTGTTTGTAACAAAGTGAAATGCCCCCTTGATATTCCAGGGTGTGCTTTATATTATATAAAGTACCAATGGGTGGAGATCTAGTAGGGCTGTGCGATTATGGCAAAAATCATAATCACGATTATTTTTGGTCAATAATTGATATCACGATTATTAAATATGATTATTCATTGACTTTGAAAACATCAATTTATTGAACTTTAAAAAAAATACAAATAATAATTTCAACAGTATCTTATAACTGTTGATTACCCTGAATGTATAATTCAACTGAAAAAACAATAAATAAAATAAATGATACATTTATATTTACATTTAAATAAATAATATCAAAATAATAAATACCAATAAACAAGATCAACAAATATTTTGGAGCGCACTTCAACAAGCTACTAAACATATATAAATATGATAAATACAAATAAATGAGATCAAATATGTTGCAGTGCACTGTCACAACCAAGCAAAGCAAAATAATGGTTTTTTTCGATTATGTTGTTTTCGTAATTGTGGCAGGCCAAAATCGTAATTGCGATTAAAATACGATTAATTGCACAGCCCTAAGATCTAGTATTCATCCTGTAATAATTAGCTAATGACACACTATGGTTTATATGGTGTTCAAACTAGTCTAGTAAGTGTTCTTATATGATTTGCTGATATGGTAAGTGCCCATTTATTACATCTCTTTACCTATTTATCCTTTAATACTCTACATTTTTCCAATTCGCATGTATGTTTATTTCCTCTCTGCTTTTATACATGGAACTGAAAAGGCTTGTTACATTGATGTAGTTCATTGTAAAAAGACTACATATTTTATCCACTGCCTTTGTCTTGTGATGAAAAGATAGCTTTCATTAAGCTTTCCAGATCACAGTTTTATCAAATCCTTTTCAAGGGGCCTATGCAGAGTGAATAATAAAATGAAATACACATAACATGAAATACTAAAGCTCCTTGCAAGAAAGTAAGCCAGTTGAAGAACTTGTTCCTAAAAAGTGACTCTGGAAATGTCATGAAAGCAGTCTAGCAACTTCAGATCCCCCAAATAACCTCATGACTCATTTGAAAGATGGCACCACACTTATGCAGGACAAAATGGAAATAAATCAGATGTAATTTAAAAAGCAATCCTCAGCTGCCTCTCCCACAAGTAACATGCTTTAACATCTGCCTTATTTTCTCTGGAGGAGAGCATACTTCAATTTCTAAGATGGACTGTCTTTATAGAAGCTTAGTAATTTTAGAGAGGTGATGAGGTCACTGTACGTCGGCTTGGATGCTATACTGGAAAAATGTCAGCTAGCAACTGGACAATCATCACAGCTGGAGACATCTGAAAGCAGCACTTTACCAGTCAGCAGTTGAAAAACGGTGCACTTAGTCTGCAATCTGATGCCACCCCAACAACCAGAATTATGTTTTTCGCTTGCCAACAATATGTGATTTATAACGATTTGATAATACGTTTAACAATTTCACCAAAACATGCTGCAAAACAGAAGGAAAAAAAAACCTCCAGCGATGATGGCTGTGTCCAAAAATATGTAATAAGTATGCTAGTAGAGGGACAGAGTGTGTGTGTTTTCTGCTGGGATGACTCTTGGTTCTCTCTTGTCTTTAGATACCAGCCTGTTGATATCATTCAACCAACCTATCATGTATTGCCAGCCTCATTCGGGGATTCTGATTGGCACATTGTCACAGGCAACTCTCTTACCACCACCAATGAGTCCCCACGTAGAAAACCCTCACAGCATGAGCTGGAGAAACAGAGAATGCCAGGTGACTATTTTCTCTTCTTCCCTTGTTGTGAAAACTGACGCGGCGCCCGTGCCTCTTTTTCTTCCCTTGTGTCCCCCCCTTCCCCCACCCCCTTTTATTTCTTTATTTTTTTTTTTGGTTTTCCTCGCTCTCCTTTCTTACAGAGCGTGACCTCCTGAGGCAGGAGCTGAACAACCGCTTCCTGGTTCAGAGTTCAGAGCGGGGCCGGGGGCCGTCCGCCTCTCCGCTGGCCCCCGCGTCGCTCCTGAGGGCCGAGTTTCACCAACATCAGCACATGCACCAGCACCAACACACCCACCAGCACACCTTCACGCCCTTTCCCGCCAGTCTGCCCCCGGCCGCCATCCTCACCCCGCCCACCGCACCCCCCATGGTGCGTACGCAAGCCAGAAATGTGAGGATAAGTAAAAATTAAATTAAACAACTCCCTTAAAACCCCGACCACCAACCAAACCTGCCCCCTGTTCCAATCCCCTCTGCAATCAACTACTCCCTTTTTTCTTTACCCCAAAATTCACAGATACGTCCCGTAGATGCAGAAACCCCTCCCACCCCCGCCCTGAAAAAAATAGGAAACTCATTCAGTTCGAATGTTGATTTTTTATTTCCGCCTACTGTCCTGCTGCTTGAATCTGAAATGTGATGGAAAGTCTAGCAACATCAAATCTGTTTCACAAAAAAAGGCGGATTGTACCTACTGGCTGCCACCTTCCTATACAAACACACACTCACACTCTCACACAAACACACACACACTCACACTCTCACACACACACTCACACTCTCACACACACACACACACACACACACACACACACACACACACACACACACACACACACACACACACACTTTAAGTTCGTCCACATACATGCTAGCTGTCGCTAAGTTAAACCCAGCCAAACACATGCATACTTGGTTTGCAACTTCCTGATCCGTATTTAAAAACACATTTCATACTAACTGTACATTCACAGTTTGCATTACTTTCAAAGAGACCATTTTCAGACATGTCAAACCACATTTTATTTAAAATATTCACCCCCATTTTAAACTTTTGACATTGGCTTTTAGTTCAGTATTTTCGGAGGATCAAAAAAAGGGGAATTGCCTGAAGGCAGCCTTTTCAATTGTTTGCATATGGACATGTTTTAATGCTTTTCAATGTTTTCATTTCCCCGTTCACAAGAGAGCAACAAAGGCCCTGTCAAAAGTTGTGTGTGTGTGTGTGTGTGTGGTGTGTGTGTGTGTGTGTGTGGTGTGTGGTGTGTGTGTGGTGTGTGTGTGTGTGTGGGTGTGTGTGTGTGTGAGTGTGTGTGTGTTGTGTGTGTTGTGTGTGTGTGTGTGTGTGTGTTGTGTGTGTGGTGTGTGTGTGTGTGTGTGTGTGTGTGTGTGTGTGTGTGTGTTGTGTGTGTGTGTGTGTGTGTGTGTTGCGCATATGGCAACCACACTTGCAGGATGCATTGGGTCAAATGACCTCATTGTGGATGAAGGGGGGGGTGACATCACTGCAAAAATGTTTTGATAATGTTTGTAATTGCTTCCTTGCTTTGACGTCTGGGAGGGAGGGGGGTCAAACACTAGCAGATTAGTACAGGGCAGAAGGGAAAAAAAGGTTATGACTATCCATCCATCATTTGAAATGCACAGCTATCTCTGACAGCCGATTCAGACGGGGCCTCCATTGGTAACTTTTCAGCATTAGTCTAATGGATCTAATCCATCATGTCATGACCTCTGATTAAGAGTCTGTGGTCCCATTAAGGCCCCCCCCCCCCCCCCCCCCCTACCCTCAGCAAGATTACCCCCATCCTGTTCATTAGAAATCAAAGCTCTTGTATTTATGGCACAGTCTCAGATAAGTATAGCGACCGGTCTTTAGCTGCACACATGCTACGTTATCTGGTGTGCTGCTCATTCCTGACATGGTAGGAATTATATACAGCCCTCTCTTTGAAGATGAAAGAGGCGATTTCCCTCATCTCACTCATGCTGGGCATTATGTAGCTCATGATGTACATACACACACCCCCCCTCACACACCCACCCTCCGTCTCTGGTTGTTTTGTTACGATGGGATTTAAGAATGCTGTTAATGTCTTTTTTTCCTTTTAATTGAACGTATGTAATAACGTAACTGTTTTCCCTTTCCTTCCTCCCCTCTTCTTCTCTCTTGGTGTTTAGAGAGGCGGCAGTAATGATGATTATGTTGTGGTTGTTTTACTGTATTTTAATGAAATAGCAAAGTCCAGTTGTCTCTTTCTCTCTCTTTTTTATTTTATCCCCATGTCATTTCAACAATCCATAGCGAATGGTTGCCATTAATGAAATGATGAAGCCTCTATATATGTGTATTGTTTAACACCCTCCAGCAGCTGCCAAATGAGTGTCTTTCCTTCCCTCGGCTTCCTTTGCGACTTCTACCCCCCCCCCCCCCCCCCCCCTTTGGACAAATATATATATAATTTTTATAAGATGAACTATTAAAACTTTCATTTGCCAAAGCTGTTTACCATAAAAGCTGTGACAGGAACCGTAAATAACAAGGGCGCAGATTTTGAGTTTTTACTTTTCCTTTATTTTTACAAGGCCGTAAAGCGACCAAAATGCCTCTCTGAGTGTCAGACATTAAAACCCGCCGCGCCTTCAGAGGAGCTTTTAATGAGCTCGGAAGCTAGCTCGGCGTTTCCTCTCCGCAGGCTTGTCTGTCTTTGATTTGGACCCATTATCGCCCACAAACAGGGCCGCCGTGGCTCGCGCTGCAGCCATTTTGTGTGCAGATGTGAATGGCCCTGCTTTTACCGGAGGGCCCCTGACCCAAAACCCCCCCCCCTCAACCACCCGTGTCGCTGCACAAGCACACACAGAAACACCGATTCATACCCACACATTTCCCTGCTTTATGTAAACCCAAAACATCTGCTCCTGCCAAGAGAACTTTGAGAAAACACTCGCAAAAAGTACCTGCAAATGGTTTGTGTATTTGCGGAATAGGAATAAGTTAGTGTCACTTGTAATTAGCCTGTTACAAAATAAAGAGCCAGTATTGGCCTGAGAACAGACATACAAAGTAACCATTCATACATGAGGCTCTCCCCCCCCCCCCCCCCCCTCCAATCATTCTCAGCTTACTGACGAGATTCCCATGTGTTCAGGGCATGATCAGAACATATTTTCATACTACGGCAAATTCTAGATAATTCTGGTAGGCATTAGCTCTAAGGTTTCCACAAATCAATTTCAGCATGTCAAAGCTTCCTCGGTTTCGTGCTGATCTGTCCTGAATTAGCTTCGAACCATTGCAAATGTCATCTACATGATTCAGCTTGAATCATAGAAGACAGACGCAAAACAGTTTTGCTTTCCATGACTTTATGGACAGATATTTGGCCTCCATTTTAAGTCTGAATCTGGATTTCTAACACCTAAAACAAGCTGTATGTCTCCACCTGCTCCCCTCACATCCATTCCATCGGGGCTCGTTGCGAAGAAAAGAAAAAGAAAAGCCCTGGCAGTCAAAAGCAATTAGATTCACATTTCTACAAATGTTCCAGTGAATAGAAACAACTGGTTTTAAAATGGTCTGATTCCACAAGCCGGGCCTCCACGCCTAACCTCTGTACGCTCAATTGGAAAATCATGCAGGCTGTCTTCATCTTGGCCGTGTGCTTAAGCGCTCGTATTGTTAGTAATTTAACTGCCTATCTGACCATGCAGTTTAAGTAAACCCATGACCGGTGCAAGCCAGCTGCTTTTCTCCAGGGTTTATTATTCTGGATCCAAACCAGCTACAGATGTTGATCATGTGTTTTGTTTTTGTAATGCGAAAGTAATGAAAGCTTATTATTTAAGGCTCGTACATGAAGGATTTTATTTCCTAATTTTTTCCTCTCTTTTTTTCTTCCAGTTCGACAAATACACCCCCAAACTGGACAATCCATTCATCAGACATTCAAACGTGAGTTTCTTTTTGTCATTCTTATTCAAATGTGTTATTTGCATTTGGCAAATCAAATATCTGACACATTTGAATGTTGCCCGAGAGCGTTTCTGGTGATGTGTGTGCATATGAGTCCTACACGTATCTCTGTTTGATTTTTTTTTGTGTCTTTTTTTGTGTATCTCCCGTCCTCCTCTTTCCTCCCCAGTTCTTCCCTCCTACCCCCCCACCATGCCAGGCATGCCCCCGCTGCTCCCACACTCAGGACCCTTCAGCTCGCTGCAAGGAGCCTTCCAGCCCAAGGTCAGCCCCACACCCCCACCCTCAGCCTGTACACCACTGAAACACCCACTCAATGCTTCATACAATGACATGCACTCGAGAAAAGTCACCCTTTTATCAGCATAGAAACACATTTTAAATGTCCTACTGCATGTAAAGAGTGGCTGTACGCACTTACTTTCACTAGAGCAACGAATTTAGCAACCAGAGACTAGCTGGAGTAGTTTTGAGTTCAAATGAAAAATGCGGAGGATATGCATTTTATGCGTAAAGGAACAAAATGACCATAGTAACGACCAATTTCATGTCTGGGATGATACATTTACAAAATGGGTCTGGTATAGAACAGAAAACATTACTTATGACCCCTCCTGTGAGACGTGAGAAATAATGTAGTTATGAGAAATAGTTATGTTTTCGTTATCTAAAAGCACAGATAAGACAATGAAGTAATGCGTTTAAAATAAAAGGCCCTATTTAGCTTTTGGGGTTTTCCCTTTCCTGTCGTGTGTTATAAAGGTTTTTGTAAATGGTCTGTGAAAGCTAGAATCCCAAAGTGAGTTTCTCTCCAATAAAAAAAACTACCTTCTGTTTTCTGTCTTTGGTTGACAGAAGCAGCAGAGCTTCGTACACCAAAGATGTGAACAAGATTGTAATAAATCTCACCCCATCCCATTTAAATCCACAAACCTGTCTATAATACTCTGTCAGACCTGACTGGACCTGAACTGATCTAAGACAGGCCAGGCCAGAGATGAGAAAGTGATGTTTAGGAGAGTGAAGCGGAGAATATGCAGAGGCAGTGTAGGATGTGAGGGGAGGGGAAGGGGTGAGGAGGGGTGTGAGGAGTCTGTCTGGCAGATGCCCAGCGGCTGTGACCCGGTGTAAGCCACCAATCAAAGCTGGCCTAAATCCGCTGGCCCGATTCCCAGGGGGCTCTGTCGTGGAGGGGGCCCTTTTGTGGAAGGCCCCTCCAGATGGTTCTTGGAACAGTCTTATGTGTCCAAAGCCCCTGCTAAGTATTCCTGGAGAGTAGCTAGGGAGGGAGCGCTTGGGATCTGTGTTTGTTAGTGGGGGGGGGGGGGTCACCCTGCAGGATCTTCTTCTCCATGACGTGTCGGGATGGATTAATAAGGCTGATCTAGGCACTCCAAAGACTTAGAGATGGGGGAGATGTGTTTCTCTGACGCGGCTCAGCGCCTGCAGCATCATCTCAGTTTTATCTACTGACATCAGCCATGCAGAAGCAGTCGCTGAGGATCAGTGAGCTGTACTGTAGGAGGATATAGGGTTACAGGGATGCTAGCACCACTATAGCTAAAGTGTCTTATAGTGTTTTCAGTTTCTCGTGTTTCCATGCAACGCGTATCAATCTTGATTTGTTTGTACTGTGTATCCGTGCAGAATATAGTTCAAAGCTTCGTTTTATAATGCTGACATTCGTTCTCTAAATGATCCTTCAAAGGCTGCACAGCACGTCTATTCATTACAGTATATTATATTTCATTAAGCTGACGTTTTTATCCAAAGCCCCTCACAATAAGGGCAATCAACCGTGAAGATACAAGCTATAAACAGCGAGTACATTAGCTGTCAATAAGCCGAACCATTTGTTGACTACAATGCATACATTAATGTGTAACAGATAACAGTGAGGCTACAATAATGCAATTAGCATAACACTAGTATATAAATAGATGCGTAAAACTGTTTCCCTCTCATGTGATTCAAACATTTCCAATAAATCAAAATGTATTCATAAAAAATAGAGGTAATCCTTTTCTAAGTTCACAATTAGTTTTTATCTCCTGAATATTTTCAGAGGCTTCAGTGGTTGAACAAATTAATTTCCACTGCAATCATCAAGGTTAATACAAAAAGAGGAACTATGGCGACAGACATTCAAAGCTTCATTCTCAAACCCTCCAAAAAAAGTCTTAAAAAATAGATTATGAAATGACATTATATGTGAACACCTTGGAATAAATATCCTGTTTTTCTTTAAGGTGTCTGATCTGTAAATGTTGAGTTTCTTACCGTACATCTAACCATGTTTCTGTTTCCTTTTGTCTCTCTTTCCGTCAGTCATCTAATCCAATTGACGTTGGGGGACGTCCTGGAGCAGTACCTCACACACTCCTTCAGAAGGATCCACGGGTAAGCATCGATAGCATCCTGAAACACATCTGTGTCTTTTCCTGTATGTGTCTCAAAGAGATGTGGATGCATGGATTTGCACAAACATCTTGTTGAGACACGGTACTTTTCCTCATGCATATCTATGGACACAAAGAAAGACTCAGTATTAAATGAAGAATCTAAACACTGTTGATTCTTTAAGCCTGCAGAACTGCATATCCTGTTGTTTACGTTATTGATTGTCCATTTGTCCATACAGATATCAGATCCATACAGGACATCCGTCAGGGTAAGTGGTTGTCTTGTCCATCTTTTGTAAAAAATGTTTCATCTCTCTGGCCAGGCCACAAAGTCTAAAACTGCAAATTCTTCAAACACTCCTGATCAAGGAAGTTCATGGTTTTGGCTGAATTTAAGGGTAGCTTTGAGGTCTCATTGGGCTAAAGTCAGGGTTAGATTTTTCTTAATCCGTTGCCTGGTTGAAAAATTCTGACGAGTTCCCACTTTGTAGTTTGGCCAGAAAATCTCAATGCCAGAATCCATTTTTAGCTCCTTATATCAAAGCCAGCAGGCTAACCTCAGTTTCTCTCTAAATTTTTAGAAACCTGGCAAGTGGTGCGCAGTGCATGTCCAGATCGCATGGCAGATCTACCACCACCAGCAGAAAATGAAGGTGCGTGACACGGATAACGATGTCTTTCAGGAATCCTGCTGTCATGTAAAACCAGAAACAGTGTATTGGGTAAAGGAATAAGTGAGGCTTGTCATGTCATAGTTGGATTGTTACCTGTAAGATAATCTATAATGGTGTTAAAAGATTCAGAAAGACCATCTTGGTTGCGAAAAATGACGGATACAAAAATGCTGTTAAGGTTAATAATGATAACAAATCTTTCTTCATTAATTCTTAGCAGAATTAAAGGCTTTCTGCATGGCTCAATGCATTTAAATAGAAATAGGCCGATCAAAAGCCACTACATTTATAGCACATAATCAGTATATGATTAGAGTGGTGCAGTGATTACTTATTTGTGGAGGCCGACACGGAAGTTAGCATCTTAAGAGCTCCCTCGTACAAAGAACAATGCGATTTTTACATAAAAATTCACAATATTGCAGTAAATAAGATCTGTGGCAAACACACGTTTATGCAACACAGTCTCACGGCATTTCGTGTTATAGTCACGAAATTAATCTATTGATTCGTGTTCACCAACACGATTTCGCCATTTCTTTCGTGTCACACAGAACGATTTTAAAAGCAATGTAAATAATAACAAATTAGAAGGAAAAGCACATTTAAAAAAATACAGATTTCAATATTCTGACACAGAACGATTTTAGAAGCAATGTATTTATATTGGTAGTATGTTTCGTGCCTGCACCAAATAATAACAAATTAGAAGGAAAAAAAGATGACATAAAATACAGAGTTCAGTATTCTGAGGCTCTGAGCCATTTCTTTTCCTCACTGACGGCAAAAAAACTCACACATTATACAATTTAAAATAAAAGGGATAGGGTTAGGCTTAGGGTAAGATATTGAGTAAGAAAATGTTTTATGAACCACACAGCTTCTGGTCTTCCAAGACCCGACCGGACAAAAAGACGTGTTGCAGGCACGAAACATACTACCAATAGAAATACATTGCATTTAAAATCGTTCTGTGTGACACGAAAAAAATGTGAAAATCGTGTTGGTGAACACGAATCAATAGATTAAATTAATTTCGTGACTAATAACACGAAATGCCGTGAGACTGGGTTGGTTTATGATACTTCCACATTTTGTTCAGCAGGATCATTTCTGCACCTTAACACCACTTAATAGCATGTAAGCATAATTGCAATCTCTATAAGTAAAAAGCTAAATTAAGGCTATAAAGGAACTACATCACACTTCAAATCAACACCGCTAAGTTAAAGGCGGCTAACTCTCCGCATGATGAGTTGTAATTGTCTCATTTTGCCACTTGTTAGCAACCGCTGTTTTTAAGACATGTATAAAGCTTCAGTCAAATCAAATGGCCAGAAGTAAAAAGTTCAAGTTAAGCTATAAAAGAACAACATCCTAGTCGCATGTCTACTTATCACCAAAGCTAAGCTAAAGGAAGCTAACTTTCTGCTTGATGACATTTAGGAGTCTCATTTAGACACATTAACAACCACTGTTTTAAATCCACCAGTGGGGTATTTACTGACATATGTTATGTTGTAGAAGCAAACATGAAACGCTCTTAAGGTAGTGTTTGCCACAGATATTATTTCAGGAATTTAACAAGAACACATTGACTTTGAGACGAGGGAACAGGAAGTAATAAATGCTAACTCATTTCCGTGTTTTAGGACTCAATCCTGCACCACTCCTTATGTAATTGTATTGATGATTTGGACACAGACAAAAATATTTGTGTGGAGGATGGTGTGGCCTCGCCATGGAGATCCTCTGCTTATGCCAATGGTGTCGGCCATTATTGGGCTTTGAACCCCCGTAAACAATGATATAGTTTTTCTAATCAATACATATATTTGTATAACACTGTTAGCTACAATTTTAGACATGGAGCCATTGTTGATGTATCTGTCTTCCTCTGGTCTCTCACTAAATGTAGCTGAGAATAAATCCTGCCTCTGGAAACGTTTGGTACTGTCTAGACACCTAATTTCCTTTCTTTGTCTCACTCTGCTTCTCTCTTGACTACAGCAAATGCAGCTGGATCCTCACAAACTTGACATGAATGGGAAGTTGGACCTGTTCAGTCGCCCCCCAGCTCCTGGAGTCTTCCCAGGGTTTCCATACCCTCACGACCTGGCACGACCCCTCTTCTCTTCCTCAGGTCAGTAAGGACTTTCCAATGCATGGTGACAACACAAATTATTCAAAACACTCAAATGATCCCTTTCCGAATCCCTTCCAGTGCCATTTTTGTCTTTATGTAAATTAGCGTTTTTAGCTGCAATTATTCCGTCACCACTGTAATGAACTGGCATCAGGGTTTTTTTTTCTCTCCCTCCTCTCATGTAATGTTCACTTAATTATAGTGCTTTTGTAGCAAATGTTTTGCCAGTAAAGGGAGTCAGATATGTCTATGAATATGGATGACTCTCAGTGAGGTAATTGACTGATTTGCCCTGCGTTGGAGGGCAACAGAGAGGCGAAACAGCCTTTGACTGGTAATTATGCAGTGGTGTGTCAGAGGCACTGCTGTAATTGGTTCTTTCATTAACAATTCATGGAATATGTGCGATGGTAACAGTGTTTCGTGAAAGAGGCCATCTTGTTGCACAGTCAAGAAATGACCCCAATAAGCAGCTATAGACTCACGTGAGAGCTAAAGAGCTAAATATCAATAGCTAATTTGCTCAATGGCAGCATCCTCTAGCTTAAATGTATATTCAACAAGTTTCGGATGCAGAAAATATGTGTTAATATATACTCACATTTACATTTTTAGCCCTGGCTAATCACCGGGGGCAGAGTAGTTTCTGTAGAAGAATACTTGCATGTTCTCTCTGCATGTCCACTTAGAGAATGTATAACTGGATAATAATAATAATAACACTGTTATACCCTCTCTTTTCTGATAGGCCCAGGCCACCCCGCCCCCCTCTCCTTACGGCCATGTCCCCCACCCCAGCGGCTTCCTGCCTCCTAGCCATTTGGCAGGTAAGTGTAAGTAACCCCACATTTATTTATTTTGTATACATGTATCCCCTCCTTCTCTTTGTCTCTTTGTCACCCATTCACTTTCTCTCTTTTACAACATTGATTAAAACACATCACAGGGTGTAATTTGAAGCATAGGTATTTCTAGATTTTATAATTTAAGGGTTATATGGAATCCATTTGGCCTATTTAGTCAGTCCGTTGCAGCATTTCTTAAAGATCACGGCAATGGCATACATTCATACATATGATTCATAACACAGTCTTAAATAACTGTCTGGTGTCATTAAAAATACTTAGTTAGCGATAGTCTCCCCTATGCAGTGCAGCAGCATACAGTATATGTTGTTTTCTTTACTCTATATGCTTGCAAAGTAATTTGAGGGTAGATGATATTGGATTCATTTGTCCATTTCATTTTTTTTTTTATGCATTCGTTTATTTTCCTCCATTCCATCTGACGCCTTCAGAGAGGCAAGTTGATTTCATGGAATGAGCCCTCGAGACAATCCATTTTGTGCTTATGAATACTTGGTGCACTAAGGAGGAAGATTTAGCGAACAAAATGTTCCTGCGTGGGGAATTCATGTGTGAGGCAGCGGAGACTTCTTAATTGTTGTCTTTTCTAATACATTAACAAACCCCCGAGCTCAAAATCCTTAAACCCTAATCTGTTGGTAAATCCTGCATTTTCCTGATGGATTTTTCACTGTATTAAAATGGGGCTGCAAATTATCAGTTGATGAACTTCTCAGGGTAAAATGTTTGTGGTATTCTTCTAAATTTTACAGGCTGTAGTCTGCGACATTGGAGCCAAACAACACTTTTTTTTCCCAATTAAACCATTGTGGTCTGTCTAGTCTAATTCTAACAGCGTCTAATTCCCCTTGTCCTACTCACTATTGTCTATTTTCAGCACAGAGCAACAACTCTTAAGTAGAAATGTCCCCCATCAGGCAGTGTTCATCAGGGTCTCCTCTCCAGTTAGTGAATCCAGCTTCCAGCGACCTGGCCACTGCAGGTTTATCAGTCAGAGAGCTAGGGTGGCAGCGCAAAAAAAAATCACAGCTCGCTTGTAAGAGAAAAGCCGAGTGGAATGGGCTGGTGTCGGATCGAGCACCGCCAGCCAGCCCCCCCCCCCCCCCCCCCCCCCCCCCCCCCCATTTTTGCTAATCCCTGTTTGGCATTTTACAGATCCTTTCAGTCGCTCCAGTTCCTATGGCGGCCTCGGCAACCTTTCAACCAGTGCCTTCGGAGGATTAGGCAACCCCTCGCCTGGTAAGCGCTGGCCCCCTCTCCGCCTCCAACCCCTTTCAATCTGGCCCCTGTGGCCGGTAACAGAACAGAGCAGTGCAGGGCTAGCGTTAGACCACAGGGAGAGCCAGGAGGGGAGGAAATAAAAACACTTAGCTCTAGTTTCTGTGTCAAAACAGTCCCTAGCTCAGGGAGGCCCAAAAAACCTCCTCCACTTCATCCACCAACCACGTCCCCAACAGTCTGGCTTTAATCTGGCGGCGCTGCTGCCAACAGGCTCTCTCAGGGCCGCTGTTTGGTGGCAATTCATCTATTAATTATTTGACAAGCCCCTTCTGCAACCACCATGGAGGGCTTTATCCCCCCCCCCCCCCCCTGCATCATTCTCTCTATGGCTTTCTCTCTTTCTCTTCATCCCTCCTATTTGTGTGCCAAAGCCTGTTGTGAAAATGGATGTGATTGGAATAGACATGCTGTGGAATGCTAAGGTCTCCCTTGGCTTCTCACAGCCTCTCAACTCCAATGGGCAAGTGAGTCTCCCCTGTTCATCCAGTGCAAAAAAAAAAAGAAAGAAAGGGAGGCGAGGGGGGGAAGCCCTTTAGTCCAAATGAGTAGGTTTTTTTTTTCTCTGGTGGGGGGAGCCATTAACCTCTAACTCTTTCAAACAGATTCAGTGAGAGAACCTCCAGAGACAAAGACAAAAGCCGCTTTTGTTGTTGAGTCTTTCTCATCTTATGTGTCCTCAAGAAGGTTTTGTGCCCAATTAACTTACAGTGGGTCCCACGCCTGTCTCACCCCCCCCCCCCCCTCCCCCCCCCACCCCTTTATCTCTCCAGGGTCCAACAACATGTTTGGCACTAAAGAGGGGCCAGGAGGAATGCCCACGTTCGGCAGCCCCCACCACGACACCTGGAACAGACTTCGACGCACACCGCCATCTTTCCCCACCCCGCCACAGTGGCCCAAAAGTGCCGATGCAGAGAGGAGCAACTCGGCCAACAGCCACGAGAGAGAGAGGGAGAGGGAACGGGAGAGAGAGAGAGAAAGGGAGAGGGAACGTGAGAAGAGAGACTCGTCTGTCGGGAAAGAGGAGAAGGATAAAGACAGGTGAGTTTGAGGCCGACGTAAATGTACTTGTGGTTTTGTTTGGAGGCTTTTAGATTATTATTTCAGATCTGCCAAAATGCCATTACTTTACAGTTTTTCTGCCATTTGACGCTACACTAAATGTCACTTTTGTTTTTAAGCATTAAGTGAAGAAGGTAAATCAATCACACACAAATGTAAGGGACAACAAGTGTGAATATTTCCAGAAACATAACTAAGCCTCATTATAATAAATACTTAAAGTGGACCTATCATGCTATATTTGAATAATATAGTGTAGGACCATACCTATATAAGGCATATTTATACTTTTTTTTTTTCAAAATACCAAACAGATCATGCATTTTAGCCATGCCTCATTTCGCTCAATTTGACATTTTTTAGCTCTGTGTTTGTAAGGGCAGATTCTGTGAGAACAGCACCACCTACAGGCCTGGCATATGTACTACAGCGTCTCCAGCGCTTTCGAACAGCAATGGCCGTGGCTGTCTCCTCCTGATTGGTGGAGTTGGCCCAATAGCCGTAGCGCCACCGTCCTGACGTCAGGACAGTGTTCAAATCTGGATCAGTTTTTATCAGATCCGTTGCAGCCCCTTTTTTAGAGATTTGGGTATGGAGGAAAATAGAGAGGGTTGTGTTTTCTGACACTTGGTGAGTTCCCTGGAACACCGGGGACACATATTCATGTATAAAAGACGTACAAAAGTGCATTTTGCATGATAGGTCCCCTTTAATATAACGAGGACATGGCATCATACAGATCCATTTTCAGCTTGCAATAGCATCTAAACAAGCTATTTTATAAATGAATGTTCTGCACAGGTAGTATAAGGAAAATAAAGCACTTTTTGAACCATAAAGGAAGTAAACATGTCACTGTAGAGGCACAAAATACAAATGTGAACCTGAAAATGAGCACAATATGGCCAATCCTTCAGTTTTTTTAGTCGTATCCCTGGAAAATGAAATAAATGAAATTGATGTATCCAAAACAAAAACGGGTAACAAGCAGCTCTGAGAGAAATTGTCAAAAATACATTTGATGGGAATTTGTGGAAATCTACCAAACATAGAGTTAAGACAGTACACATTATCAGAGGGAGACAAGAGCATCGTCACCTAGATGTTTTTAAGGATAATAACCGATAAATCATTTTTGGAAAAGTATCTTACTACTTTTAAATCCAGGCTGAAGACTTTTCTTTTTGCCGCTGCTTTTAATTGATATATTCATCTCACACTGCACTGTAACTTTTATTCATGTACAATACCTGTGTTATTCGTGTTTTATTATCTTTGCTTTTAAATGAGTGTTTTTAAATGCCATTTTATAATATGTTTCTTTATGCTCTTAATGTCTTTCATTTTTGTAAAGCACTTTGAATTGCCTTGTGTTGAAAGTTGCTATATAAATAAACTTGCCTTGCCTTGCCTAAATACATGATGTCCTTGCAGGGATTCTGTGGACCGTAATCGCCACTCCAACCGTTCGTCTCCGGCCTCGGCGCCGGTCAGCTACCAGATCAGCAACCTGATCCGCTCCAACAGCCAGAACTCCTGTGACTCGGGTCGACATCACAGCGGCAGCGTGGACCGGGTCCGTGAGGCGGAGAAGGAGCTGCTGGAGCGCCACAGAGAGTCTTCCTCGCAGGGCGACGTGAAGGTGAAGGAGAGCCGCTCGCCGGGCAAGGAAATGCTGGAGAGGAGATCTTCAGAGGACTCCATCAAACCCACTCAACGATCTCCGTCCCCTTACTCAAAGGCGGTGATCAACGAGCAGGGCATGAAGATGGCAGGTGGGCCCCCGCCTACGCTCAAGGACAGCGACAGGAAGGAGCCCCCGATAGAGCTCCTCCACAAGGTGAAAAATGACATGAAGATTAAGGAGGAGAGGAAGGAGGAGCAGGAGGTCGTGGTGGTGAGTTCTGAGCCTGCACCTCAACCACAACCGCAAACTCTTCCTCCTCAAATGGGCCAGTCTATGAACCCTCACCACCACCACCCGCCGTTATCCCACCAGGCCCCTCTCCCCTTACATCGAGGCAGTGACATTCCAGTTCAAGGCATGCACGGCGTCCCCATGGCTCACTCGCTGCCTCTCTCAATGGGGGGCATGCCTCAGATGGGCAGCCTTAATGTGCTAGATCGGGCTCGTATGGCTCCCTTTATGGGTGTGAGCCCTATGGCGGGAAGGGAACGCCTCCCGCACCAGTCCTTCCCATGGGACCCGCTCCGAGAGGCGTACCGCAGCCTGGACCTGCAGCGGCGCATGGACTTCCAGCTCAGGGCGGAGCAGGGACACCGCTTCCCCAGCATGTACGAGCAGGAGCGAGCATACCGCGAGAGGGAGGCGCACGACTACTCCCACCACGAGCACCTGTTGGAGGTACGGCGAGAGCACGAGAGGATGAGGCAGCAGGTGGAGGAGCGAGAGCGCATCCATCTGAGGGAGGAGCTGGACAGAGCGCGCCTCCATCAGTTGCACCAGTCCCCCATGGAGGGCCATCTACCCCACATGGCCCCTTTTATGCCCCACCTAGGCGGCATGCCCTACCCTAGACTCAGCCCCTCCACGGGACACAACGGCCCCATGAACAGGACACCCCCTACAGCCGCTTTAAGCGCACCTCCACCTCTTGTGCCAGCTGGTAGTGCCAGGCCAGTCTCACCTAGGAGGACTACCCCCCTCACCTCCACCCAGGACCCCCGGGACTACTCCCCGTCTCGCAACCCCAAAGAGGTAGAGGCCCGGTAGCTTCTTAGAAAGTCTTTCAGCCCCCTAATCTGAACTCCGATAGTGAACAAAATGCACTGCTCTTCACCAGGAGAGAGCAAACCTCCCTAAGGGAAAAGGTATGATTGTACAAAGTAAAGGTGTGTAAGGCTGATTAAGCACATGCCATGACTTTATTTTTAACGGACTGGAGGTCGAACAATGTCGGTAAAGAGAACATAAATATGTGTATGTTTATATCCGGCTTAAATATTTGATAATTATTAATATATTAATCAAATACCTTTTTTCAGCTTTGTGCGAAAAGAGAGGTCCTGAAATGAGTTTGTACATTTCCTATCCTTGTTCCATGTATAGATATCATTTCTATGAATTGTATGTATTTTGTGCATTACGCCTTTTACAATATTTATCCCAGTTGATTGTGAGACATATCCATTATGACCCACTGTAAAGACTGGATTTCATTTCAACTTTCAGTAATTTAACCTCATGGTACCAGGATATCCTCAATGATGAAAATGTACAAAGTTACATTACGGATTTTTGTTTTGTTCAATTGTTTTGCCTTTGAGATATGCAGATAAATATATATTATGAGGTCTTTGTTCAGTCTCTGTAAAGAAAACTGATGTAAATAACCTGTTGATATTTCTTCGCTGCAAAATGACCGTGTACATTTATTAGTCTTTTTAACCATTTCTAGAAAAATGAAATGAAATGAAACATGGGGGATCACGTCCCTGTTGGATATCATGGAAACAGACAAGCCTGGCCAATGGGTGTTTGACTGGAGGGTGTTGTAAGGGGGCCTAGAAGGATCATCTGCTATCTATGCAAAGCAGCACACAGCACCCTTATGAACCCGGACGGAGCGGACGATACTGGTGATACGAGAGACACTTGGATTAACACATGTTTATAGAAAATGATGGAATTATGAAAAGACTTCCAAGTCAAAAACTGGACCAGCCCCGGACAGAAAAGAAGGACACTTTTTCGAGTGGGCGGCAAAACGGACTTTCTCTGTCAACCTTGTGGTGTTGTGCAGTTGTTTTTCTTAGACTCTTGTATACAAAACAAGTAGAGTTTTAGGCGTGCAAAAAAATGAAAATGAACATTCTTGGTTTAAAATGTACGGAATAAAGTTTGGACCTAATGTCATACATTTGTTTCTTGGTTCCTTATCCATTGTCAGTGCCGACTACGAGTACTGGATTTGTCTTTGAGCCAAACCGACTGAGGGGAATGTTGATGTGAGGTTGATAGGTTTGCCAATAACGCTTGTGCCTCAGTTTTCAGCGTTTAGAGTATTTGCTCATCTGATATCAAGCCATTATTTTGAAAACATAAAGGCAACAGACTTGGCCGGCAGAGTAGCCTGAGCATTAAGATCATTTGACCATAATCTGTCATACATGGGCTGCACAGCCAGCTCTTCAGAGGGGGATCGATGAGATTGGGCCAAGGCAATACATGGAGGGACTAATAGGACATTGATTTTGTATGAAAGCAGGTTTTGAGTGTTTGTGTTGCAGGTAACCGGTATTGACTGGCAGCCCAGCCGCATATTGACCCGCGGTCTGGACTCATTAAGAGGAGCAATGCCTGGGAGGCAGGCTATCGGATGGAGGAGGATCGGCCTCATGCTCACCACTCATCTGCTTTTCTAATGAGGCCGGATGGCACTCTGGAGTGGGCCGTGCAGGGATCCCTGAGGCGCCCCGTCCTGTTATTGACAAGAGCTCGGCTGTGCTCTCCGCCTGTCCAGAGACGGCCAATTCATCCTGTTAATGCCCTCACTACTCATCTGGCTGCTGTGTGCCGAAAGACCAACCTATCCTGTCCCATGGTATCAGCCCGTAATGACAGCGTGGATCAAACCGTGGCCAGGTCATTAGGGGATGTTATTGAAAATCAATGGCGCTCCTGTGTCTCACACACTCAGGCAGGGTTTTTTTCTTAAAAGGGCTCCTTGAAAAGGCTGTTTTCCAGAATGGGCCTGGCGTATTGGGAAGACTTAAATCACTATCACTTTCAATTTAGCAACTGGTAATAGAGCCGCATATTCCTCCGCCGGGTAGCATCTGTCAGTGGCCAGCTACACTTTGGCCCGGTGTGCTTTTAGTTCTAATCATCTAGTCAACAGCAGGTACTTAACCCCTGTATTCGTTACGGCATAGTGATTTTTCCTGTAACTATTATTTACCAAGCAAGCTTTGGTAGAAGAAAAACACACCTTACGTTTTCCCCCGACTCAATCACTCTGTCCTGTGCTCTATCCATTTTACGGCTGAGTGTGGAACGGCCCTCCGGAGATGAAAAGCTCCATCAATTTCACTCATCGTCTGGCAAGGTCAATTTATTTCAGCACACAGTCCATCATCAGATAGGGAATCAATTGACACTTCGCCTAGCATATCCAACCCAAGGTGGGTTATTATGGCTTCTGCAATTGTCAGCTATTTTCCAACGCTATTCTTCACATGTCAAGGCTTTTTTCTTTTCTCTGTTTGTTGCTGCGATTGTTTCATGATTTTCTATATTTACTTCCACAATTTTGAAACACATTTCCTATTTGAAGGCACATTGTTACAATGACAGGGCTTCATGTATCAGCTTGACTGTGATACAAGATTGTGTTTTTTTAATGCATCTCTCCACTGTAATCCCAATTAATAGGATATGGTGGTATCTGAGGTAAGACATTGTTTGATTGTTCCACTAATCCTCTTCATTTATCTGTGAGAAACCTCAATGCCGAGGGTTTAGGATTGAATTTTCATGGTCTCAAATACCTCCAAAAAACTGCATGGCACGAAGCTCACCCCAGATTCAGCGAACACTGGAACAGGCCTAAGGGGCTTTTATAGAGCACAATGGCAGCTAATAACACAGTGCCAAGCTAATAAGATGGGCAACAAATGAATGGTTTGGTCCAGGCTCCCTTTCTCCCTTGCTCACTCATCCCCCCGCTGATAAAACATGTATGAAAGCGTTTTTGAGCCGCTATGTAGTGGCTCCCTAGACTTTTCCCCTAGCGAGAGCTAATGCATTAGTTCCCATTTGAAGGCTGTTTTGAAATGGAGATTGGTAATGAGACGGGAGGCCCCTGCCATGATCACATTTGGATTGCTGGGGCCTCCACCGGGCCTGGTGATTTGGGAGACGATGGCTCTGCTCTGAGTTCAAGCCCATCTCTCTGCGGGGGTTAGCAAGCCCTGACGAGAGCCATGCTAAACCACTAAACTATATCTGAACTGTGGACTGAGGGAGGGAGCAGCGAGTCAAGGGCTTTGGCTGTGGATTCCTGTCGCGGTGCTCTCTTTGTAGCCTGGGTGTTGTATTGACCACCTAAAAAGGCTACTAGCATACATCCCTTCCATGTTGCTATCTTTTTTTAGCCCTCAGTGTCAACAGAGCAACAGCTGACAGAAACCAGGCCAGTCAGCGGTTAAGGAGCTGATTTGGAAACAGCCGAATGGTGTGAATTCCAGACCCCTGGTGACAAAGTGCTGTCTAATGTCTTTGCACCTCTGGACCTATGACAAATATCCCGGCTGTCTCACACACCAGCCCCGCTATGGCTGTAGAAGGAGCTTTGGAGAAGGAGAATCACTCACAGAGGAGCCTGATGTGAGACAGGGAGGAGTGGAAGAGAATTAAGGGAGATGGAAAAGAAGGCAGCCAAAATAAGTTTTCCACTTTGATTCAATTTTGAGGATTTTTCCAGCCTTTAGTGGAACCTCACAATCTCCCACACTGGCCATATTATGTACACAAGCCATAAAAAATGAATAACATTTATGCAGCTGGGTGCATCTGGCAGCGATAGTCCTCTCATTCAGGGACCCACATGATGGCACCGTGCCGCCACACCACCCTCTCTGTGCTATGTATGGGCACTAGACAAGAGAAGACTTAGGGGAGGGGTGGGTGGTGTAAAGGGAGCCTCTCAAATGCTTCCAATGAGTTTAAAAAAACAAGAGATTTCAAGGCAAATGGAGGCCATACGTGGCCTGTCCAATTTGGCACGGCCAACGCACATGATTAGCCGTAGAGACGTTAATCAAAAGTGGCTCAGTATTTGAAGGGGCGGTGAGAGGCACTGCCAGCTGGTGACAACATGGCTTGTGTGCACGGGCCAAGAGTGAAGTTTATTTGAATATGGATCTTGCCGTGACCGTATTTCTCCAGAGCTCAGTTAGCAGAGCGTTCTTTGGCTCATCACTGGGATCGCCTCAGAGCCGCTTGGCATCCAGAAAGGCGGAAGTTTTTCCAAGCCGCAGAATGAGAATTACGATTTAGTCCATCCCCTCTGGTGGTTCGGGCATATTCATAAGTATTTATTCAGTTCGACGCTGGCAGAGACGCAACACCTAGTTTCTGGCGTCCATGTGTTAGGGTTTCCTTTCCAAATATGAAGTTATGAAATCGACAAAAAGCTTGTTTTCACAGAATATGAATTAATAACAAATTTTTAAATAAAATAAATATATCTTTCCACATAAAACCATGCTAGCCCTCTACT